CTTTCTATCTCTAGAAATTTGAATTCGTAGTAGTCAGCTCTGCAGTCTGAGTCTGACTACTCCAGGAACATTACGTAAGTGCAGTCGTACTGTATTCGTCTCTCTGTGACGGGGGATTTCGTGCAGCACGGCGTCCTGGTTCATCAGCGTTACGGTGTGTGCCGTGGCCCCGTCTTTAAGGCTGAATCCCATCGGACGTGCATATCACGGTTTGCTTGGCTGTTCCCTCACGGTTGGGCATTCGGGTGTTCCTGCCTTGGGAGACTGTGAACAATGCTGCGATGAGCTCGGGGTACAGGCATCTACTCGGGTCCCTGCTTCCCATTCTCTGCGATGTGTACCCAGATGTAGGATTGCCAGGTCACATAGTAATTCTGCTTTTTTTAAAAAAAGAATTATTTATTTGCTTTTATTTATAATAATTATTTTTAAAAATTTGCTATAGATGGGACCAGTAGTTAGCGTAATGGCTATGTCGCTGGATTCCCACGTGATTGACTACGGTTCGAGTCCTGGACCCGGTGGCTTAAACTCATGTCGGGCGCGTGTGCGTGTATGCTCAAGATCCCGAGAGGAGAATGGAGGAGAAGGGATTGCGGCGTGGCCATCCCCCCTGGGGGGTGATTTCTCACTTTCTGTCTCTGTCTCTCTCTGTCTTTCTGGTGAGCACAGGCGCCCTATAGCGAAAGCCTCTCAAAAAAAAAAAAAAAATCTCTATAGAGCATGCATGCTTGCCAGAGAGAGACAGAGACAGAGAGAAAGTGAGAAAGTGGCCTCCAGGTCCAGGGCTCAGATGTGGTTAGCCATCTAGCACCTCGACCACCATGCCACCTGCTGACTCTGGCAATTCTACTTTTAATTAAAAAAAGTAACATTGCAGGGCCGGCATGTGGCATGGTGGTTAAGGGCGCTGGACTCCCACATGGATAACCACAGTTCAAGTTCCAGACCTGGCGGCTTGCTTTCTTGCTTTCCCCCTCTCTCTTTCTCTCTCTCTCTTGTCAAATAATAATAATAATAATAGTTAAATAAAATTATAACAAAATTAATATTGCAGGTGCTCTCCAGAGACAGAGGGAGGGAGAGAGAAAGCGCCCCAGGGGGGCATGGCCACGCTGCAGTCCCTGCCCCTCCGTCTTCATCTCACCAGGATTTCAGGCAAGCACACGCGTGCCCTGCATATTTCTCAAGCCACTGGACTGGGACTTGAACTGCATGGCTGGCCACGTAGGACCCAGCTCCCTTAACTGGGTAAAGGGCCAGCCCTCGGTTTTTAAGTTTTTTGTTTTTTTTTTTTGGAGAGGTCTTCGCTATAGGGCGCGTGCGCTCGCCAGACAGAGAGACATAGAGACAGAAATCACCCCCCAGGGGGGATGGTCACACCGCAATCCCTTCTCCTCCATTCTCCTCCCGGGATCTTGGGCACGCATGCACACGTGCCCAGCGTGAGTTCTAAGCCACCGGGTCTGGGATGCGAACCGTGGTCGACTACGTGGGAGTCTAGCGACATAGCCATTACGCTAACTGCTGGTTCCTGAGTTTTTTTCTTTCTTTTTTAAGAGAGTTTTTTTTTTTATTTCATTTAACTCATTTATTTTATTCATTTACTTTAATTTGACCAGAGAGGGACAGAGTGAGAAAGAGAGAGAAGGGAAGTGAGAAAGCAAGCTGCCAGGTCCAGGACTTGAACCGTGGTCGGCCATGTGGGAGTCTGGCACCCTCAACCACCATGCCACCCGCCAACCCCAAGAAAGATTTTTTTTTTTTTTTTTTGCTATAGGGCACGTGCACTCACCACAGAGAGAAACAAAGTGAGAAATTATCACCCGAGAGGATGACCATGCCGCAATCCCTTCTTCTCCATTCTCCTGGGAATTTGGGGCATGTACATACATCTACCCAGCATGAGTTTTAAGCCACTGGTTCTGGGACTTGAGCTGTGGTCAATTACGTGGGAATCCAATGACATAACCATTACATCATTTGATGGTCTCTATTTTTTTTGGAGAGGTTTTTGCTATAGGGTGTGTGTGCTTGCCAGAAAGACAGAGAGACAGAAAGTGAGAAATCACCCCCCAGGGGGATGGCCACGCTGCAATCCCTTCTCCTCCATTCTCCTCTCTGGATCTTGGGCACGCACGCACATGCACCTGGCGTGAGTTTAAGCCACTGGGTCCGGGACGCGAACTGCAGACAATTAGATGGGAGTCCAGTGACATAGCCATTATGCCAACTGCTGGTCCCAGCTAGTCCCTATTTTTAAGCTATTTTTCTATACTGTTTTTCATAGTGCCTGCATTGTTTACATTGCTACCAACAGTTCACAGAAGTTCACATCTCTCCGCGTCCTCACCAGTACCTGGTACTTTATTTTCTGTTTGTTGTTCATGTGTTCATAGGGTGCCTGGGACACATGGCCAGTGCGATTTCAAGCCACCAGGTCTGGGACTCGAACTGCGGTCTTCCATGTGGGAGTCTAGTGACATAACCACTATGCCACCTGCTGGCCCTTCTGCTGTTTTTCTTAAAGAATTATTTATTCAATTTTATTTGTTATTTTATTATTATTATTATTATTTTGTTTTGTTTCGTTTTGCGATAGGGCATGTGTGCTTGCCAGAAAGACAGAGAGAGACAGAAAGTGAGAAATCACCCCCCCCAGGGGGGATGGCCAGGCTGCAATCCCTTCTTATCTATTCTCCTCTTGGGATCTTGGGTACATACACATACCCAATGTGAGTTTAAGCCACCAGGTCCAGGACTCGAACCACAGTTGCCTACATGGGAGTCCAGCGACATAGCCATTACGCCAACTGCTGGTCCCTTATTATTGCTTTAATTTGCTATAGGGCATGTGTGCTCACTAGAGAGAGAGGGGGAGAAAGAGAGAGTGAGATACCAGGTTCAGGTCTTGAACCATGGTGGACCGTGTGGGAGTCCAGCCCCTCGACCCCCCACTGGCTCTGCTCTGCTGTTTCTGATCCTTGCCATCCCAGTGGGTGGCAGCTCGCTGTGGTTGTAACTAATGACGGATGATGCTGAGCAACTTTATGTGCTTTTCGGCCCATTCAATCATGCTCTCATTAAGAGTGCAAAGTACTTACTGGGCATTGTTCTAGATGCTGGCCAAAGGTGAACAGCCCAGAAGCTTCCACTGCAGTGGTGCGCGTCTGGTCCCCCTCCACCACCTGGCAGGTGGAGTGACAAGCCCTCTCTGGCCTTGGTTTCCACATTCAGACAGCGGGTAGCGGTTACGATATTGCCGCGGTGGTCACTTGCACACTTGACCTTGTTCCAGACAAAGTGCAGTCTCGTTTCTGGGTGCAGTGCTCACGTCGGCCCCCTGAGGCAGGTCCGACCATCTGCTCGTTCTGTGCAAGGAGACCGAAGCCACTTGGCCACCGTGTTTCCCAGGATAAGGAAGTTGTAGGCTGGCTTCCTGTGGGTACAGTGTGGTTCTGAGCCTGCCACAGCGGGTGAGTGAAGCCACCGAAGAAGCACCTCACACGTGCCAGCTCTTAGCGGTGGCACTCATGGCCTGTCATCGTCCCAGCTCTTCGTCTTCACTTCTGCCCCGCTTCCTTCGCCTGCCTGTCCTGGTCTGCCTCGATGTTTCCTGCCATCCTTATAGTCACTCATTCATTCAACACTCGTTTCTAGAGGCCCCCCGTGTGCCAGACAATCCTAGGGACACAGAGAAGTCAGACCCTGGGGGACCTCAGGTGACATGGTGGTTAAGGCACTGGACTCACACATGTTTGGCCATGGTTCGAATCTTGGACCTGGTGACTTGAAAACCATGCCAGCCTATGAGCATGTGTGCCCCAAATGCCAGGAGAATGGAGAAGGGATTGTGGCGTGGCCATCTCCCGCCCCCGGCTGGGGTGATTTCTCACTTTCCCTCCCTTCTCTGGAAAGTGCACGTGCCTTATGGAAAAAACCTTAGAAAAGAGAGAAAACAGACCCGTGCCCTCTCCATGCTGGAGCTGTCGCTTGGGAGCACGAAGATCACAAATCAACCCAGTGCATGTCCTAAATCGGACAGCTCAGGGGGCCGTTGCACCCAGGGGGAGACTGGTCCCACTTTGGTAGGAAGAGTGTGTGTGCAGGTGTGTGTGTGCACGCGTGTCTAGGGGAAGTTTCCCCTGGAGGTGCCCTGAGCTGTTGGGTATTACTGCGGGGCATGACATCACGAACGTGAGAGGGCAAGGCTGGCTGGGGCAGCTGGGGAGCCAAAGAGACTAAATACCTTGATTTCTCACACACACACACACACACACACGCACACACGCCGCCCACCCCCCCCCCCCACCCCCCCGCG